AGGATAACACTTACTTAAGTGTGGGCCTCCTGGGCGATAAGATAAAGTCTATAGCATGGGTGATCTGAACAATCAATTATTGATTCTATTCTTGTATGGATGGGTGATCAATCCTCCCATACACACATAGGGAATGAGATATCACAAGAAGTTAGTTTCCTAACATCCTAGATGATATTACAGAAAATGCATATTGTAGGATTTAATAGAATCATCATAAACATTGAAATATAAACATCAATGGAAACATAAAGAACGAAATACTCAAGCAACCATAAACACAAGATGATTTAATGAAATATTCATATTATAACGAGTTCACATTCCTACATCTAATTAATGATACATTGAAGAAAAGGAGGGTACCACCATCGATGATGACATCATCTCCTTGATTGTGCGTCCTCATATGGTTGCCAAACTCTTCACTTGAATAAAGTGTGAACAAACGAATATAGTGGATTTTTGCAGCGTGTCTACAGCTGAGATGTAGTTCTCCATTTACTAGTTACAAGAAGGGGTTTTGTAGTCTTTTCCTTTCTAAAGCTGGCTGAAACCTTACTTGTACGAGTGGGACTCAGATTTTCCAACTGGAAGATGAATTAGAAACCTTCTAGAAGCTTCTAAGGCTTGGACCTTCAGCGACGGCCCAGCAACGGTACGCACTACTACCAATTTTCTTCTTGGGTTGGGTTGCATGGCCCTTAAAGCAACCTCTGTTGGAAATTTAGGCTCAGACTTTCTACTATGGGCTAACGGTGGTTAGACCCGTCTATGACCCACCCTTAGTTCCTTCTCCGAATTGGGCTGAGTTTTCTTCCAGTGGGCTTTTCTTGTACTCTAGTTGAGACTTCCATAAGACTTTCCCTCCTTTAGCCTTCGTCTTATAGGTGAAAAACCTCTTGATCTTCCCAAATACACTCTTTTGATTCTCCATAATCTGCCGAAATTTAATCCAAAGTATCATAGGCTGTGTTTTACCTTGAAAAGCACATAAACTTACCAAAAAGGCAAGAAAAGATACGAAAACAAAATCTAGGTCTAGAAAATCTCATTTGATAAAATAGTTATGATATTCATATGAAATTAAGTAAGAACTCCTAAAGATGCACTGGTAGAAGAGAAAATGTATCAAATATGTGAGTGATAAACACTATAAATGGAGTAATATAAGTTGATCTCTACTCCATACGTTTTCAAGGATTGAAACTTCCCCGATACCATTTGATGAGCAGATGATGGGTAGAGATGATTGAGATTTGGGCAATTGAAAAAGGGGGATTAGGGTTCGACGAACAGAAGAGGAGAAGAAAATTAGGGATTGAACGTTCTTAATTCTGCTTAATCCCCAAAAGAAATAATTTGATACATATGTGAAGGTCTCGATCTCCTCACCGGGTGTAACTCGGGTTGGGCATGGACGTTGGTTAGAACAACGAACCAACCTAGTCATGGCTCCATTACATCCTCAATAGCTTTAAGCTACAAAGCAACCTCATCCCAAAAATTGAGGTGTTTAATAAGAATTACCATAGCTCAACATAAAATCCATTCAAATGACTCCTTGTAGTTTGTGTTATTGACTCGCTACGGATACACCGTTAATTAATCCTAGCTAGAGCCCAAGTTTTTAAACTCTAGTCGGGTGTAGTATAGTGCAAGTATGTTTTAATTGTCAATGAACGGAACCCTAGTGTGAAGGATGTGTTTAAATACTGTGAGGCAGGTGCAAAAATCTACGGACAAGCCCTTTTAGTCGATCAATCAAGGATTGCTACAATAAGCTAGGGAACCTAGCTCTCTTAACCTTTCGGCTAAGGAGTGCAACAATAAGCTAGGGAACCTAGCTCTCTTAACCTTTCGGCTAAGGAGTGCAACAATAAGCTAGGAGGCCTAGAGCTCTTAATCGAACTAATAGAGGAAACCCTGACTCTCTTAGTCGACCAATTAAGGATTGTTGCATTAAGTTAGCAGACTAACTCTCTTAACCTTTCGACTAAGGATGACAATAATAGGCTAGGCAATCTAGCCCTCTTAACTAATCAACTAAGGATTGCAAGACCCAACCCTCGGAAGTTATCAGGATGGCGGAGAGCGACCAATCATGATGGGATCATGGTGCTTCTCCATTAGTTGAGGTTTTGGCCCTAGATTAACCCAAAAGGAGTTACCCAAGTGGCTGGAGATCAAGCTCCCTATGGGCCAAAGGGGGATTTCCACATTCTAGGTTAATTTTACCCAATAATGAGAAAATGCAAGCAACACCCAAGCATTCATGATTAATACCTCAAATATTATATAAAACACACAATCAACACAATAGAATCATGTTCTTACATCCTAACACACATCTAGACTAGAATTCACAATACCCAAGTGAGTAGGTAGGCTATTCCATAGCTAGCATAGGAAATCAACAAAAAGAAGAGAAAGAACCATGAAAAGATGAGTGTCTTCCTTCCTTGTTGCTTGAATCTCCCTTGAGAAGAAGAAACCTTCGGTCCTCTAGCTTAGGGCAAGCCCAAATCTCCTTCTTCCTCCTTTGAATGGTACTTTCTCTCTCTAGAATAGGAAGAGGAAACCCTAATCTCTTACTAGAAACCCTCCTTTATCTGAAAACTAAAACCCTAGAAAAAGATATCCTTTCTCCTTTAGCTCAACTCCCCTTTTATACCCAGGTCGGGCTCAAATCACGGTCCCAGTTCACGGCCGTGAACTCAAGACGGGGACCGTGATCTCAAGCCAAAACGCGCCGCATTACTAAGCCACTTCACGGTCTGGGGCTGGAGTTCACGGTCTTATGACCGTGAACTGGCTTCAGTCCAGTGAAAATGCAAATGACCCTGGACCCTCCGCACTTCACGGTCTCGGGGCAATTGTCACGGACTTTGGACTTTTTCGGTTTTTTGCGATTTTCGACCTCCAATTGTCCCGAAACTCGTCCTCAATCCTCCCACATGTGCTAGGACCTGAAATATAACAAAACAAGCACAACCTAGCGTGAAATATGTCGAGTGACGATGAAATGCAAAGCCAAACTATCAAAAAACGAGGGGTAAAATGTGTGCATTTAGACCCGAATCACTTATCAAATTATATATATGGTTATGAGATCTCTATATAAAAAATAAGAATTTTTTAAAATTAAAAATGATTATTCTTTTAGCGTATTAGTGTCATATTAGCGATACCACGATAAATTTTGTTGGTCTTCTTGTGTTTGTCATTATTTTAACAAGCTCTTTAAAGAGCCCATGACTAAGAGTTTCTCTTCTCACCCTCTCTCATATGCATCCCTCTCATGAGTCAAGTGAGAAAGAATTTTTTTTTTATTACACAGAAACCTCAGTCTCACGTGCAACTTTGTGACAGCAGGTTCTACTAAATTTGGGGGTCAACTGCAATCGAATTCGACGCCAACGAGACTTCACCCCAGTAGCATTGTACCTCCAAAAACACTAACTGGCCTCGCTTGGATTTGAAACTAAGATATGCAACTTATAATCCTTCACCGTCGCGACAATTAATCCTTTCTTTATGAGAAACATTAAGGAAAACAACAGTACAAACCATATGCTAACAATAATACAAGCCATGCAAAACATCAAAGTTATATCATAAAATATGCACATTAATATTATCAATATAAATTATACAAAATAGAGTAACATTGTTCAGAAATCAAGCTGACATAACATTCTTTACATACGAAAATAACATAAATAGCATACAAATAAATCGTAGCATAGTTTACAAACCATAAACACACTGTATGATAACTAGACTCTATTTTCTGTCACATTTTTCTTTACAAATCATATTGAATTTCATTAGAAAATATGTAGTTTAAGAAAACCGTTAATATTGGAGTTCGTGACTTTTGAGGAGTTTGAACATCTGATCGGAAGGACAAGCTAGTTTTGATGTCATATTATAAACCAACCTATGCAAATAACTCGAGTTGTTGGGAGAGATCCATCCATGTATGGGTCTTATATCTTCTTTATACGCCCTCTCAAACGAAAATCAACTCGTGGGTTTGAAGTATGCACAGATCCGACATATCATGTGTTTTAAAACAACAATTAATATTGAGTGTTGTGAGGATTTGAACACGTGATCTCAAATACAAACCAGTTCTTATATCAAATGTTATAAATCTGTTAATTCCAATAACTCAAGTCGTTCGGAATCAGGGGCGGAGCTACTCAGAGAGTAGGGTGGGCCCCGACCCACCCGAGAATAGTCTCGGCCCCTAGGACCGTAAGAATATTTAGATAAAATTTGGATAAGTAGTGCTCGATCTATACATTATTTTATATAATAATTATGTAGTCTAATGGTGAATAAGCTAAACTTTTAGCCTAAAGCAAACAGGTTCGGTCCACAATACCCTCATTTTTGCTTTAACTTCTTTTTGGACTTTATTATCTTAATTCTTCTCCACAAAGTCCTGAACCAAAGCAAATGGGATATTTACTCCTTTTTCATTCTTTTTGTTACTTTAATCCGGCTACAAATGAAAAAATCAATCTCTATTTAGTGTCAAAGGAATTTTATTTTGTTGATAGGCTTATTTGTCTTCTTCTAACTCTTCCAAATTTCTAAAGCTACATATGATCATGCATGTTTTTAGGTACAAAGATAGTGAAGAATAAATTGCGAAACAAAATAAATGATGAGTTTCTTGTTAATGATTTAGTTATTTATATTGAAAGAAAAATAGCTAAATTTTTTTAGTTCAGATACTATTTTGAGAGATTCCAATATTCTCAAATTTTATAGACTTTAAAAATAATTATTTTATTTTTATTTACATTTATCTATCTTCGGCCCACCCGATTTCAAAATTCTGGCTCCGCGGGTACTGATCATTATTATTTTTTAAAGGAAAAAAAAACGAAGTAATGAGAGTATTAACCGAGTGACGAATCAATAAACAAATGCCACACAATCACTTTCTTCCTCTATATATATAGTGGAGCAGAGCCATAACCCTGTCCTCAGTTTCACCCGAAAATTCCTCGGCTCCTCTACAGAAGCAATATTTCTTCTTGGAGAAAAGAGGGAAAGTAACTAAGAGAAAGAAGATATGAGGGCCTCATCATCTAGCTCGTACAAACTCTCTGGGTCCATCGTGTGGTGGATCTTGATGGTGGCGGTGGTAGTCGCGGCGGCAGGCGGCGGTGGGGTGGCGGCGGCGGTCACTTGCAGCCCATTGCAGCTGAGCTCGTGCGTGTCGGCGATCAGATCGTCGACCCCGCCGTCGAAGCTGTGCTGCACCAAGATCAAAGAGCAGAGGCCCTGCCTGTGCCAGTACATGAAGAACCCGGCGCTGAAGCCGTATGTGAACACCCCTAACGCCAGGAAGGTCGCCTCAACTTGTGGGACCCCCTTCCCCAAGTGCTGATTAGTGGGTCGGTGAGAGATCTAAATATGGGGGGTGGAGTAATCAACTAATTAATGTTTTCTGATTAGCAAGCAAGTATGGCTCTGTTTTGTGAGTGGATGTGATGTTGCTATATATGTGTGTGTAGGTAATTAGGTATGGTGGGGAACTGGGAATAAGTTGAAGTGGAGCACTAGCAGACGCAGTAGTGGTGAATGGAGGAGTGGGTAAAATAAAATGTTGGTGGAAGGCAGGGGATTCAATGGCTAGCTCACCACTATTGTCATTCTCGTTTCTTCTGATCTCTTCATCTTTCTGTGTAATTCTCCTTATATTTGTATCTGTTCAATCATAAATGGTCTAATAATTTGGGAATTCAGCTTATTTTTTACTTGCGAGAGGGCGCTTAAAGGATTTAAGGATGTAATTTTAAACTAATTTTCAACCTTAAACTAGTTTGCTCTCTGTTTTCGGCGATGGCGTCCAAACGTATTTTGAAGGAATTCAAGGATCTACACAAGGATCCTCCAATCTCATGCAGCACTGAATTTTGTCATGGATTCCTAGGAATAGATTTTTACCCCGCCGTATTAGGCGGTCCCAGCTGGAGAATTTCAGCCGTCGGTCGGTGTCGTGAATCGTGATTGTGTATATCCCCTTCGGCCGGCGGCTATATTGATTGATGATTTAGGCGTATTATTGTATATATATGACGACGGCGAGGACTTTGGCTTTAGGTTTTCTGGTAATGGAATTGCTGTTGTGTCCTGTCGGATGGGGTTTTGTTCTCTGTTTCCCGGTCAGCGAGCGACGGCCAAACGGCGACACCGCCGGAAAAGTTCCATGAATTCGGCTCTAATGCACAATTAAGTGCTACTTTGTCGGTTACACACCGAGGAATGGGGTCTCCACCGTTTCTCTACCCACTACTGTGAGAATAATGACAACATTAATCTCTCCCACTAAATGATAACATAGCATTTATTATTAACTGCGATTGCCCGCATTTTAGCGGATAATCAGCGGCAATACCGGGATCCAAATTTTTTCATGTCGTTTTTTTGCCCTTCCCTTCTTTACTGGATTCCTATTTATTTACATGGTATCAGAGCCTTCTGTGACCGAGAGGTCTTGAGTTCGATTTCCGATGACCCCCATTTGGTAAGCACATGGTATTCTTGTCTTCAGACCTGTGCAAATTTCAAGCCCTTGTGAGTGACTTTCATTTGAGGGGGCGTGTTAGTGTTGTGGTATATGATCCACGATTGAACCTCTCCCAACAACTCGAGTTATTGGGAGCAACTGGTTCTTTACAGCCAACGGCAATACTGTCGCTAAATTCTCAGTTTATGGAGTATAAGCAGGGCTGGAAGTTTGGTATCGGTATTTGAGATATATCGAATACCGTATCGAATTTGTTTATATTTGGTATTACCGAATACACGTATTATTTCTTGGGATTGAGATTGAGATTCCATTTCAATTGTAATTTGGTATTAGGGATTACGAGATTGGGATCGGTATATACCGAAATACTGAACAATACCGAAATATAAGCTAGTGTGTATTTTATCCTCTCAACTGGACTTTCTCATTCACTACTACACTATCCTCAACCACCAATATATTGGTATTTTCATAACACCTAAAAGCAAACACTAGTATTAGTCTTCTCTCAGCCTCCAATTAGTCAAATTAAAGATTACCAATGACAAAAACTTGAGATGCCACCTCTACTCCATTCTCCTTATACATATCCTAGCTCTAGGTAAACTCAAAATTATTTGTTTAGTCTTTTTGACCTATATTAAACAATCAAATCTAATTTATATATTTAATTATTAATTATAAAAGTAATTAATTTCGTATTCGATAATACCGATTGGGATACCGAAGTACCGATTGGGATACTGAAATATTTAAGGATTGAGATTGGGATACCGAAATTATTTAGGGATTGAGATTGTGATTGATTCTAGGGTGTAATTCGGTATTTGGGATTGGGATACCGATACTGTACCGATTTCCACCCCTGAGTATAAGGGTGCGTTTGGATGGTACATTTCAAATGTAAGATATTTGGAATGCATGTATTTGAAATATTGGTATTTAAAATCTATGTAATGTAAATTCATTGTTTGGATACTCATTAGTAATTTGTTTGTATTTCAGATTTTATGATCTTTATTTTAATTTTGAATATTCTGGTCACTTACTAAAATTTTGGTAAATTATAGTTTGGTATCAAAATTTATTTTTTCTTGAAATTTAGTACCTAAAGTTTTAAAATTTTACAAAAAGGTCCAGAAATTTTTATGGTAAAATTATATTTTAGTAACTTTATATGTTTTGTCTCACACTATAATTTCTAAATTTTTAATATTTTACAAATAAGTCCAATCTTTTGTTAGGAGGTATTTCAAATCACTAGTTGCTGAAATGTATTTGAAGTGGACAAGTAATACAGTAGACATGTATTTGGAAATCACCCCATGGATTTGGTACAAATCCAAATACCAAATGTAATTAATATCCAAACACATGATAAGACATTTAAAAATCCAAATCATTCTATTCAAACACACCCTAAGGGAAGTTACTTGTATGATAACATTAAGTTGTTATGGAAATTTTCACCAATACTAAAATTCTTGCAAAACAAGTAATATTGTAAGATCACGAAAATCATGCAAACACATGCAATTGTCCTGGTTGATATAATATAAAGTCTCTTTTTAAGAAATCTCATTCCCTCAAGTATCCAAGGTTACAGAATGATTCCTCCCAGGATAGAGAGGACGTACCTTTCCAGCGTAGTGGTACCTCAAACCCCGGAAACCAACGAACACAGCGAATTGGCAAGAACTGAACTACACTTGACTCAATTTTTCTCTTTTAGAAAGACTGCATAAAATCAGTTTGTATTTTGGCAGATTTTTTGTATGAGAAAATTGTCTGTAAAAACCATAGGGGGTAAGTGCTATTCTTAGAAAATGAATGGGTGCGTATGCAAGAAGGCAACTCTTCATATGGATGGGTTACACCCAAACCATTGCATTGGTTGGTTCACAAATGTCTCAACCATTGTATGGGTTCGGCCCATGATAGTTAGACCGGTTGGGTTATTCCAACCGTCATATCAGTTTGATTTGGTTCGACTTGATTCGGTTGGTTACGCAAACCAATATAACTGATTACCCACATATCACATCAAATCGAAATCGATCGAATTTGTGACTGCGCCTTATCACAAACAGTAACGTAGTACTTCAAAAGCTTCTCTTGCATCTTTATCCTTTCATTCTCATTCACACCATTCAAAATCCCAACATAAGCAACTAGTGACTCACGGTGACAAACGACAACCTTGATAATCTTTCCTTTATCCTATATGGCTATCACATAGCAGGGGCGAAGCCAGGATTCGGTGTTAGGGGGTGGGGAGAGGGCGAAATTTTTTATTCGGTTTCTTTGAAACGACGATAAAAATTAAGAAATAAATTTTTTTAATATTATTATAACCACATTTTTTATTATTATAGTAACTCAAAAGTATTCTTTAAAATTGAAATTTGAAGAATTTAATTCTAGTTTCTTAGTACCAGCTTTAAGAAACCAAAATATACAAGTTGAGAACTTATGAAATTCAAAAGCACTAATTATTCAGCCATATAAAACTTAATTTTGAAACTACAAACTGAAATCATATTGAAATTAACCAAAAAAAAACATAAGATAAAAAATTAATGGGAAGTTACTAAACTAAAAAGAAAAATTAAAATGCTAGTTGCATGCAATTACTAAAACTAAAAAGAATATTATACAAGTTGAGAACTTATGAAAATCAAAAGCATAATTATTCAGCCATATAAAAATTAATTTTTAAAATAACAAACGGAAAATCAAATTGATCAAGAAGCGAGGGAAAAAGGGTTATATGGCTCTCAAGGTGGATATGGAAAAGGCCTATGACAGAGTTGAATGACCCTTTTTGTTCGCGATTATGGCTAAGATGGGGTTTAGTAGTCAATGGATAGGCTTGATTCGGGAGTGTGTCTCCACTGCGTCATTTTCAGTTATGATGAACGAAGTGCCATTTGGTTATTTTCGATCATCGCGAGGATTGCGTCAAGGGGATCCACTCTCGTCTCTTTTGTTTGTTATATGTTTTGAGGGATTTGGGGCATTGATTCGGCAGGCGGTTCAGGATGGGAGTTTAGCAGGGATAAAGGTTAGCCCCCATAGTCCGAGTGTGACTCATTTGTTTTTTGCAGATGACTCATATATGTTTTTGCGTGGGTCAAGAGGTGAATGTGTCAAGTTAATGGAGGTTTTAGCTGAGTATCAGCTGATGAGTGATCAGAAGGTGAATTTAGCAAAGTCGGCAATATGTTTCAGTGGTAATATTGGTGACGCAGACGCTGCGGAGATGGCGCAGTTGCTTGGTGTTGGTGCAATAGGAGTTCGGGACAAGTATTTGGGGTTACCTGCTTTAGTGCATCGCTGCAAGACTGAAACATTCAGATATTTGGAGACTAAGCTGTTGGAGAAGCTACAAGGATGGAAACAGAAGCATTTATCTTCGGCGGCAAAGGAGGTTTTGCTCAAAGCGGTAGCATCGGCATTGCCCATTCATGTCATGTCTTGCTTCTTGTTACCACTGATGTTATGCCGAAAGCTAGATAAGCACATGGCCCGTTTTTGGTGGGGTTACACGACTGAGGGCAATAAATCGCATTGGGTGTCTTGGAGAAATTTATGCAGGAGTAAATTTGATGGTGGCTTGGTTTTAGGCGGTTTGAGGATTTTAATCAGGCCTTGCTGGCCAAAGTCGTGTGGCGAATTTGGACGGAGCCGGATTCTCTCCTTGCGCGGGTACTAAAAGGTAAATATTTCCCTCACAGTAATTTGCTGGCTGCTCAATCCCGATCTCGGCCCTCTTTGGGGTGGGTGGGTATTCTCCATGGGCGTGATTTGTTACTCGAAGGCTTAGTTTGGCAGCTACGGAGTGGTGAGGATGTGAGGATTTTAAATCATGGTTGGATTCCAGGGCGCCGGTGTACAAGTGATTGGCTTCTTCCTAGGGCACCGAATTTGATTGGGAAGAAGGTTGCTGATCTGCTATAGGATGATGAAGCGGGGTGGTGTAGGGATTGTTTGCAACAATGCTTTCCCCAGGAGGTTGTCAAGGACATTTGTTCCATTCCATTGCCGCGGTAGCCGCTGCCTGATAAATTGGTATCGGGTGAGGAGGAGTTGGATGTTTACTCAGTCAAATCCGGGTATCATTTGAAGGTTCGGATCAATAGGGGTAGGAGAGGATGGAAAGATGAGGTCTCTTTCTTTGATATGGCATTCTGGAAGAAGGTTTGGGGTTTCCATATACCACCAAAGTTTAAGTTGTTTGCCTGGCAGGTGATGCGTCGGATATTGCCCATGATGGAAACGATTATTGAGAAAGGTGGGAATTGTGAGTCGCAGTGTCTGGTATGTGGGGCTGAGTTGGAAACCATGGAGCATATGTTCTTGGAATGTCGGGTAGCAGTGGCGTTGTGGAGAGTTCGGGGTTAGTGTTACCTGCCTCGGAGGAGCGCCCAACAAACTTTGCTCTTTTCTTCAGACAGATTCTTGAGAGGGATGACAGCGTAGAGCGGGTTGTACGGTTTGTGGCATTATTATGGTGTATATGGAAGTCACGGAACTGGGTAGTGTTTGACCACTTTCAGTATGCGATTCATGTTCTTGTTAGACAGTATGAGGAGCAGGTGCGTGAGTGGTTGAGTTTTCCGAGACCTCTGCCGCTGCAGCTAGCTGGGATGCTGAATCAGCCCGTGCCGGCTGGGGAATCTTTGTCGTTTAGGTGCTTGGTGGATGGGGCTGTTCTGCGTGGCTCACACGCTGCTGGTGGGTTGGTTGTGTTGGATGCGAATAATAATATATTGTGTGCCAAAGGTTTTTTGTATGCAGGTTTGCAGGATCCATTCTTGGTGGAGTTGGTGGCGTTCCGGGATGCGATACAGTGGTGCTCTCTGAGGGGTTTCACTGAGGTCTCATTCCAGGGTGATGCTAAGAACGTCATTGACAAGATTCGCAAGGATGATTCGCAAGATGCTCGTGGAGGATGCATTTTGGAGGTGATTCGTATGCTTCGGCGTCAGTATCAAGCTATGGCGATTGAATTTATAGGCAGGGATAACAATCGAGTGGCCCATGAAGTGGCCAGGAAGGCCCTTTCTTTGTATCTTGCGAGTATTAAGAGTTTTGATTTTCGACATTGGCTTTGGTTTGGTGTTTAGACTTTGATATCTATGTTTTCTTGGTAATACAAGTGAGCTATTGATAAAAAAAATGAAAAATCAAATTGAAATTAACGCAAACAAAAAAATCATAATAAAATATTCATGAGAAGTTAAAAAGAAAAAGTAGTAGCTCATGTAGTGGGTTTCAAACCTAGAACTTGTAGGATGAATTATTTGATTTACATCAGTAAGACTACTTTCCTTTCTTATTTTTCATTTGCATATGAGAAATATAAGAACGAAACACACAAAACGCAACGATTTACGTGGTATCCTTGCTCGTCATGAGCAAGACTAATCCACGGAAGACCCCATACAAGGAGTCTTCGGCTAGAGTTTATTATTAGGGTTTTGCAAAACTCACAGGCTCTCTACAGGAGCATGCACACGACAACAACATATATATAAGGGTGCACTATATCCCTTATCACCACTCAACTAGGGAATAAGTGGTAAATAGTCCCTAAACAGTTAATTAGGCACACTACGTACTTAACACTCTACTAGTACGTAGGTCATAACACGCCCCCTCAAGCGCGTGCATGAATGTCGTGAAGGCCAAGCTTGGACGACAAGAAGGAAAACTGATCCGCGCCCAATCCCTTGGTGAAGATATCAGCAACCTGATTAGTAGCCGCAATTTTTCCAGCGGCTGTATTTTGCCAGACGTTACTCGCTCACGTAGAAAGTGGCAATCCATTTCCACATGCTTTGTACGTTCATGAAAAACAGGATTGGCAGCAATATGTAAGGCTGCCTGATTATCACAGTGAAGAGGAATTGTCGAGGTGGTTGTCACGCCCAGGTCACCAAGCAACCATCGAAGCCAAACAAGCTCACTGACAGTGCTAGCCATGGCGCGATACTCCGCTTCAGCATACGAGCGAGCTACGACGGACTGCTTCTTGGTTCGCCAAGATATTGGACAATCACCCAGCTGTATAAAATACCCAGTAATGGAGCGACGCATACTCTGGCAGCCACCCCAATCTGCATCACAATAAGCTGTCAAACGGAGCTTACCGGTCGTAGGGAAACGAAGGTCTCGATCAGGCGCCCCCTTAAGGTAACGCAACACTCTGTGAGCTGCATCCTCGTGCTCCTGGCGTGGGGAATGAACAGCCTGGCTCAAGATTTTAATGGCATAGACTATGTCGGGTCGGGTAACAGTCAAATACTGCAACCGGCCAACGAGACGACGAAAGCCAGAAGGGTCTCGAGCAGTCAGACCCTCAATCGTGGTAAGATGATGATTCCGCTCGATCGGAAATGCACAGGGTTTGACGCCCAGTGTTCCAGCGTCTTTGAGTATATCAAGTGCATACTTTCTCTGTGATAACACCAGACCAGTGCGGGAACGGGCAACTTCAATTCCCAAGAAATATTTCAAGACGCCGAGATCCTTAATACCGAACTGTTCCTGTAGAAAATCCTTGACGCGCTGAATAGTAGCCATGTCGTCGCCACCAAGAATAATATCATCAACATAGATCAATGCAAAGACGTAGACCCCATCACGTCGATAGATAAAAAGAGAGTGATTAGCATTGGATTGGCGAAATCCAAATTGCTGTAGAAAATGAGTAAACTTCATATACCAATTACGATAGGCCTGTTTCAAACCATAGAGGGACTTGCGAAGTCGACACACCCGGTTGTCCCCCGGACGAGCAAAACCAGGAGGAAGTTTCATATAAACCTCCTCATCAAGATCACCGTGGAGGAATGCGTTGTTAACATCGAGCTGATGAAGATGCCAGGCGCGATGGGCAGCCACAGCTAGGACAGAATGAACAGTCACAAGTTTCGCAACCGGGGCGAAGGTGTCGTGATAATCGATGCCCTCAATCTGTGTGAAGCCCTTAGCGACCAGACGAGCTTTATACCGCTCAAAACTGCCATCAGGGTGAAACTTGATCTAATAGACCCATTTCGAGGAAAGGCACGCTTACCAGGCGGCAAATCAGTCAATTCTCAGGTACCATTGGCTTCCAAAGCGGCAATTTCACGTTGCATAGCTTTGCGCCAACAAGCAAGCTTAACAGCATCATGAAAGAACTGCGGCTCCACCAAAGTATCAATAGATGACACAAAGACACGATGGTTAGCTGAGAGACGAGTAAAAGTAACATAAGCAGAGAGCGGGTATTTCACATCCGCAGTATGAGAAGCAGGGAAACGAGTGTCATAACCTTCAAGCCGTACAGAAGGATGCCACACTCGATCACCGCGTTGAATAGGTGGTGTGGTGGCGGGGGAACAGGAGCTGGGTCCACTATGGTGGACAAAGGTTGCGTGGCGGAAGTAGGAGGCGGAGAGGCAGACGACTCCGCGGAAGGGGGAGCCAAATCATCAGTCTCCGAGTGATAGGGGCTAGCGGACGAGGAGGTGGAGTCACCATAGTGGTCAGCAGCAGTAGGATCCGAGGAGGGAGAAGGGTCCGTTGGTGGCGAGGGTATGGGGTGTTCAGAAGCAACTGGGACGAGCTCATCATCATCATCGTCCTCACGCGTGACAGGAGGAGAGAACTGGCGCGACATGGGTGATGTATCATTGGCTGTTGAGTGAAAAGGAAAAGTCGTTTCCTCAACACGACGTCACGAGAGGTAAATAATCGATGAGATGATAGCTCGTAAACACGATACCCCTTCTGAGACGGGGGGTAACCAAGAAAGACACACGGACGACCTCGCTCACCAAATTTATCCAAGTGGTGACGGGTATCTTTAGAATAGACCAAACATCCAAAAGCTCGGAGATGAGAGTAGCTGGGAAGCTTGCCAAAAAGTCGTTCATACAGGGTCTGATTCCCAAGAGAACTGTGCGGAAGACGATTAATCAAGTAGCCAGCATTGAGGACACACTCGCCCCAAAAACGCTTGGGCAAGTTAGCATGAAAGTGAAGGGCACGAGCTGTATCCAATATGTGTCGAGGCTTACGCTCGACAATCCCGTTTTGCTGCGGAGTATCGACACAAGAAGTTTGTAAGTGAATGCCCTCATCAACATAAAAATCGACCAAGTCATGGGATTGAAACTCCGTCCCATTGTCGGTCTGAATCACTTTGACCGACGCACCAAACTGCCGGGATGCCTGTCGAACAAAAAGTTTCAAGTATCTAGCAGCCTCAGATTTGAATTTAAGCAGATAAATCCAAACACCACGGGTGAAATCATCCACAACTGTAAGAAAGTACTGAGCTCCACTCAAAGAAGGAACTTTGTAACCACCCCAAATGTCAATGTGAACAATTTCAAAAGGCCGAGTACTGCGAATTGAGCTGGAAGGAAAAGGCAAACGAGACTGCTTTGCTCGCAAACAGGGGGAGCAAAGAGTGTTATTATGTCTACTAGTGTTGGGTACTAAATGTAACAAATCCAATTTCTCCAGCGACGGGTGTCCCAGCCGAGAGTGCCAAAGATCAGGTGAGACGTTTCTACGAACAACATAGGCCATCTCGCGTCGGACCCCATCAAAAAGACGTAAATGGTAGAGACCGTCAACTTGGCTCCCCGTCCCAATAATCATCTTCAAGGACAAGTCCTATATCACACAGAAGTCCCGAAGAAATATCAAAGCCAGAGAAAAATCCCGAGTAAGCTGACTCACAGATAACAGGTTGCATTTTAATTCCGGAACCAATAGCACACGAGGTAAAACCAGCCCATTAGACAACCGAACTTCACCAATGCGAGTTACTCCAATAGTCGAACCATCGGGGACTCGTACCTGCAGACCCGGGTCGGCCTGTGACCCGTGAACTAGTTTCAGATTGTTCACAATTTGTTTCGTTACAGCCGCTATCGATTAACCAGTCATCATTCAACGCGGAAAAAGAAGGTGAATTACCTATCGCCTTATTTGCTGGGCTCGACATCTGCTTTAGCTCCTCGCCAAACTAGTTTTTAAGCTGCTCAAATTGAGAGGGAGTCAGCCCAGGAATTGGGCTCGCTTGAGCACCGACTTGAGCAGCATGAGGAGCGCCCTTGCCCCGATCGCCCCCTTTCGAACGATTACCGCGATCGCCCTTCGATGCAGGACGATCCGAATAGCCAATGAGTTCATAGCACCGGTCCTTTGTGTGACCGGTCTTCTTGCAATGTTCACAGAAGTACCAAGGCTTAGATGGATCACTAGGACGACTCGAGGAGCTGCGAGCATTGGAGCGGTCATCCTGAGAAAAGAACGTTGCTGCTTCAACAGTGGGGCACCGAGCTTGAGCTATCCGCGCTGTTGTTCATCATTATTGACCAGCTGATAAGCTTCGGCAAGGCTCGACATGGGACGCATAGCCAGGATTTGTGTCTTAACTGTAGAGAAGGCCTCGTCGAGACCCATGAGAAAGTCAAAGAGCTGCTCACTGTTTTTGGTGTTTTGATACTTACGCTTCACATCACAAGTGCATCCATTGAAGCTACAATTAGGGTCAGGAGAGATGGATTGAATCTCATCCCAATACCCCCGAAGCTTAGTATAGAAGCTAGAGACACTAGACTTCTCCTATTGAAGGGCATTGATTATCCGACGCAGCTCATACAAGCGCGGTGCGCTCGGCTGCCCAAAACGAGCTTCAAGATCAATCCATATGTCACGGGCGGTGCTGACAAAACGGACACTTGAGCGAATCTCCATACTCATTGCCGTTTTCAACCAACCCTTCACCATGGCGTCACAGACCCGCCATTGATCACGGAGACGCCCATCAAACGGTTGCGGAATAGAACCATCCACAAAACCTACTTTGTTCTTGGCAATGAAAGAATCAGTGATGTCGCCAAACCATTCGTTGTAGTTGGAATCGGTGAGAAGCTCACCCACAAATAGTTGATTAGGGCTGTCACCATTGTGGAGAATGAAGTCCGGAGGAAAAGGCGGGTCGCTACCAGACGCACCCCCTGCCGGTGGAGGATCGGATGCCGCAGACTTCAGCTTGGCATCCACCATTGTCTCGTCGTTAAGACTCATAATGACAGGTTAAAGAAAGAAAACGCCATGAAGCTCAGCTCACAGCTCTGATACCATGAGAAATTCTCCTATTTTAAGTATCGACGGTTCAAACAAAACCGGCCAAAATATCACGGTAGGCAGGTTAACTCAAAAATACCGGCCGGAACGGAAATTCCCTCGCACACATTGCATCGTATCGGCCAATAGCCAGTTCCCGGTTTTTCTGATTCAACCGACTGGTACGATCCAGTTTCCTGGACCATGCCCAACCCTAAACTATGGGTTCTTTCTTGTATTAGGCCAAAAAATAATAAATCACTATATATGCTTATACAAGAGATCGAACTCATCGCTTTGACTGTAGCACAAGAATATTTTAACATTACAATAAACATCAATTCTTATTATTTGATTGCCATAATATTCCAAAAAAGGACATCTAGTTTCAAGTCGGCCCACTCTGTCCAGTGTCCACCATAAAAGAGTTCAGCTTTGGCAGTTCACTATGCACATTGTTTTGAATGAACCGAAATTGGGTCGACCTCAATTGTTGGCAGAAAGTTAATCTGCTCACAAGGAGTTTTGTGAGTAGATACTTACAAGGCCCAGATTTGTCCACGTCGGCCCAGTTCTAATCCAAGGGTGAGGGGGTTAGCCCATCCATGGCTCATTTAAGTGAGCTATTTAAGAGATTTTTTGCACAGGTCGGCCCAGCCAACCAAGCTGAACAAGGTGGCTTGGGTCCACCTTTGATTTAGGCGGGATTGAGAAAGAGAGCCGCTGAGATAACTCGTATCCAGCCGAGACAAATAAATATCCAAAAGTGCACGAACTAATATTCGGTCTGAGTTGACAAAAGAGAGAGAAAAGCATGGCCCACCATCTGTTACTTTTGATGCTTTGATGAATTTTCACATGAGAGAGATGTTGAGCATTTAATGCCACCCACCAACTATTCTCACATGAAGAGAGAAATCAACCCTGATTAATATTCATATCGTCCAATCTAGTATCCATCCTTAACCAAAATATTATCCATGAACCGAAGGAAATTAGTTTATGTGGTCGGATATTAGTCTGGGCGGTATGGATATTAATTTTTGCATGAACTGATATTATATGTGATGGATATTAGTTTGTGAATTAATTGTGTCTTCCATCAAAATTAAACACGCTATCAAGTCCTAACACATAAGGCTTGCAACCTTAGTTAGGGCTGCACGCCGAGGGCCCATTGGCCGAAGGCCAATGAATCAATAATAGTAGGAGAGTGTGTCTTCCAGACCCTAATATTAGTTCGTTTCTGATTTCAGAAATTAGTTTATGTGGTTAGATATTAGTCAGGTTGCCAATGATATTTGTTCGTTTAAGGGTGGATATTATTTCTAGTGTGGATGAATGTTAGTCTGGGAGCCACGGATATTTGTTCTATAAAGGACAGATATTTGTTTTGGGGTGAATGGGTGTTTGTATGGGTGATATGGATGTTTGTTTTATGAACTTATATTATATGCGATGGATATTGGTTTATAACTATTCACATGTGAACATTATGGTCACTATTCCCATAAGAACCTTGTACTAACTATTCAAATGTCATCTTTGTTTATTTAAGCACCCACCCTAACATAATGGTTTCCCAACTTACCCACCATATTGTTCTTCTCTTATCAAACAACTTCCATGTCTTCAGAGTCAGAGGATGAAGATATCACCGAGGAAAGCATCCAAAAATGAAGTTTTTTTTTTGTCATGGTAGGTTTGATATTATTCCGTTTGTGATTTCGGATATTAATTTATGTGGTTGGATATTAGTCAGGGTGTCAATGATATTTGTTCGCATAAGGATGTATATTATATATGGAGTGGAAGGATGTTAGTCTGGGCTCCACCGATATTTGTTCGATTTTATATTTATTTGGGGTGAATGGGTATGTGTTCGATAAAGGACGGATATTAGTTTTGCCCGTTATGTAATCGAATATTAGTTTTGTGTGATTAGATTTTTTGTTTCCTTTATTTGGATATTAGTCTACATAGTTGTTCTTATTAGACCTTCTGATTAATAATATTTGTGTTTGCCCAAAAGAGTATCTATCCTCCTTTTACATCACAAAGCTAATGTTTACTTTTCACCAAAATAATTTCAAAGCCCCCTAAATAATTACAACTACATCCACTTGACCTACTTAGGGTTTAGAGTTTAGGGTTCATGGTTTAGAACACAAAGTATGGTGGTTCGATATTTTGTCTATGTAGTTGAATATTAGTCTGCGACGGTGAGATATTAGTCTGTGTATTGTTGATATTTGACTGTGATGGTGAGATATTATATTTTTAATGACTGGATATTGGTTTGAGACAGTGATATATAAGTTTGGATGGTATTGATATTTTTTAGGGTTTAGAGTGAGAGTTGTTTTGGTTTAGGGTTTAGAAGATGATGTTGTGGAAATGGATATGAACACAATGTAGAATGATTTGATATCTGTCTGTGGTGATAAGATATTACTATGTGATGGGAGGATATTAGTTTGCGATATGTGGGTATTTCACGTGTAGTGAGTATTAGTTCACGATGGTCGGATATTATTTTGTGTGTAGTTTGTATTAGTCTGTGACGGTGAGGATATTAATTATGGACCAACTGGATATTGGTATTAAACTGTGAGATATTAGTATCGGTGGTGTGGATATTTGTTTTGTGTGGATGTTTATCTATTTTTGTTTGTGTTGATATTGAGTTTAAACAAATTTATCTAAAATAAAGTTTTTTTTTCGACAAACCGCGATACAACTAGTATTAATGTCATTCCAACTTGGCAATCCCATAATCTAAAATCCAAAAAAGTACAACCACATAAAAAACGAAAAAGGAATAGTTCAAATGTTGTCTTGCTTGATCAAACTCTCGATAATCTTTTTGATCATGTCCTCCAAGCCCCCCATGTTTCGGTCATGCCACGACGAGGTTGGGATGGTCCTTCTCTTAGTTGTGGTCTCTTCGCTTTTGTTTTAGTTCTTGCCATTGTCCAATATCCCTGGGATCATAGATAAATATATAGGTATAAATCAACTGATATCCCCGCCACCCAAAACTAATATAAGGTAACTATAATCCATACATTCAGAGTAATATCCAAACAAACCATAACAAATATTCACCAATGGCATACCTAATATCAGGCATAATATCTCAATCGCACAGAACTAATATAAGCGAACAAACATCCATATCGGGCAGAGAAATATCAAGACAAAGTAAACAAATATACAGACATCACATAACTAATATCCGAACAGTCAATAGTACAATATCCACAGTATAAAAAAGTAGTATCCAAAGCATGCTAACTATTATCCATATTAAGCGAACTAATATTCCAGATCTACAAATCGAATCCCAGATCCCAACCGCACAAAATCCCAAAATCCCCCAAACGAATCCTAGATCTCCCAAATCGAATCTCAGATCCCAAACGCATAGAATCCCATATTCCCCAAATTGAATCACAGATCCCAACCCCACAGAATAACAGATCTCGAATCCATAAAACCATATAGTCGAATCAATGAATCAAGAGAAAGGAAGACATCTACCTCAACAACCTTCTTCTCCTTGTCGTCGTCGTCTTCCTCCCGCTCGGTCGATGCCTTCTTCCTTCAAGCACCGCTACCATCGTCGCCAACGCCAAGCACCCACGTCTTCTCCTTGCATCATCGTCTTCTTCCTAGCGTCATGGCCTTTTTCCTTGCAGTCCTCGTCGCCGCCGTCATCTTCATCTCAACCCTCGATGGAGAGATTCTTTTGTGCGTTATCGGGAGAAGAAAAGGAAATCTTTTGGAGAGGGGAGAGAAATAAAACCAACGTAATGAATAATGATAGAGAGAAGAGGAAACTAAATAAAAGGTGAGGTTTTTTTTTTTTTTTGAATTTTTTGGTGTTTGAATTTGGGTGGGCCAGGTTTTATTGGCAGATTTGGGCCAGCCGAGCCGCTAAAGTAGTCTCTGCTCTCACCTGTCGGCGCCAATCATCTCCACATCCTCAAATCGTGGCATGCCGTCGTGGACCTCCAATCGGCCGTGTGAGTATATTTTTTTTTTTGCGTAATGGGAGGCAAAAGCCAAGAAAAGGAGCCCAGGGGGTTTTACAAGCTGGTGGAATCGATCGCCACAATCCGGCGCTCGAAAGAAACACCCATCGCATCCTCTCTAACAATAGAAGCTAACTCGGGGGGTGGGTTCGCAACCTCATGCACACCGTAGGGATAGACGAGACTGTGCTTCGAGAGCCAGTCTGCGACTCTATTCCCTTCCCGGTAAACATGAGTGATGCTTACCAACCAGTCTTGACCGATCTTCCTACGGATGGCTGAGAGAAGGGTAGCATGAGGATGAACCGGATCACTTCTGTGGTTGATGAGCTGAATCGCCAACTGAGAGTCAGACTCCAGGCGCACCGCCCTGTACCCTTTTTTCCAAGCCATATCCAACCCATGAAACACTGCCCACAACTCAGCCAAAATTGCCGTAGCCGTCCCAAAGTTCGCGAGGAAACCAGCGATCCAATTACCTGTCCAGTCGCGAAGCACACCTCCAGCTCCAGCAGCTCCAGGGTTGCCGTTAGAAGCCCCATCAACGTTAAGAGTCACCCAACCATGAATCGGCGGAGTCCACCCGACCATCACCGTAGTACGAGCAGTCGTAGGCCGTGTGAGTATATACTCACCGCTTATGTCGTAAGCATCATAACTATTAGGAGTAATTCATTATTCAAAACAACCTCCAATATGAAATTGTTCGAATTAGTTCGATTATTAGGAGTACTCTCATGACTCATCAGTGCTTGCTCCCATTTTCTCGAGCACCCATGCTACACATTCATTTAGTCCCCCGTCAACTAATGAGCCAAAAAAACCCCTAAACAGCAGAAACGAAGAAAATTGGTTCCAGAATGCGAGAAACCGATGGAGTTGCCGCTGCATTTCCATTTACAAATCGGAAACCTAATACTACTTACTGGCACGAGCCCTTAATCCAACCTCAAAGGTTAAGGAGGTTGGAAATCTGGTTCCATTCCATAGCCCACCATGGCCTTTTCCCAGATGGCGGTGCAAAGTTGAGCTCGAACATCTCCTTGGACAAATTCCCTCCTTGATACAACCCAACCAGCCTCGCAATAATCTCTGCACTTTCTTGTACGTGCCTCGAATCGTGAGGATCTCTCCATAGCTTGCTTATGAACTGCAGCCTTCTGTGCTTCCCATCCAAAGGCACACCCCACTTGATGAACAACGCCTCCCTCTCCTCCATGCTCAACCGTGTCAGCCTCTTAGCCAGGAATTCCCTCTCACGCTTCAACGCTCTCCTACTGTATAAACCCAAACCCAAAACCCAAAATGTATCAGAGAAACGAGACAAAGGTTCCTGGAAAGAGGTTAATTAGTTCCCGAAAGAAAAGCAGATGAAGAGAAGAGAGAAGAAAGAACCTTGATGAAAGGGAAACCGTTGACTCATCTCCACCGACAACACGAGCAGGGCTTGCATCACCCAGCTCAGCCAAATGCTGCTGCAACCAGGTTAGTCGCCTGAGTTCTACCTCCATGTATATCTCATCAGCAGGGTCGCCTTTGAACAGCAAGTAGAATTGTGTTCTGTGGATAATTGGTACGTAGCAAATATCCCACAATTCTATGATCTGCTGCCTCTGCTCTCTGAAGGTCACATGCCATGGAACTTGTGGTTCCACCGCATCGACCATCATTTCTTCCTCGTCCTCCTCTATGTTATACCCAGCTGCCTCATTTGCTTCCAGTTCTAGAACCTGCAAGGAACCACAACAAGCATCAGAAGCTATGTTAACCCAATTGACTGTGCAGTGTAGAATCTGAGTAATGTCAACATAGGAAGTATGTATCACCTGGCAAACTAGCAGCTGCTTTTGGTACTGGAGTTTGGCAACTCGTTCCTTCAGTTCTGTCACATATGCTCTAATGCTTCTCACGTTTTCCTCAGCTGCATTCTGGAACATCTTCTGCATCTTTTTCATGTTGACAGAACTCGAACGTCGATAGCCAGGGGAGACCCCTTCCTTGGACACTTCTCCACACTCTTCACTCTTCATTGGAGTAGTCTGCTTTTCAGATTCTCGCTGCAAGTTGGCATTCGACACAAGAACGTCACCATTCTCTGGTGCTCGATTCTCTCTGTCATTTTCTGATACTTGCCTTGATGATGACAAAGGTGAACATGGAGATCGGATGAAGTTCTGCATCCCACTGTTGCTCGGGGATAAAGGGAGTGTCTTCTTCTTCTTGTGCTGACTCTTAGAATTGGAAGCTGGAGACTCAAAGTTCAATTCTGGAGTACTATTGCTTGGGAGAGACATGATCAGCTTGTCGATAGACTTCTGGACGTTCTCCAGTTGCTCTTCGAGATTGGCAATGGTGCTTCCTTGTGAATGAAGTCTTGTTATTTCCTCTTTCAGATTAGCGCTAACACTCTTGTTGGTAGGTATCATCACGCTTCCAATTTGAACTTCCTTCGGAAGCTGTGGAAGGGATCGCATTTCCCTGATCTCTGCTTGCAGCTTGGCAATCGTCTCGGCTGCATCTTGGTTACCTAGTCTATGGCAAGCAACTTCCTTTTGTAGTACTTCAAGAGCTCGGTTTGCTTCTTCCCCAAGTTGCTCCTGTAGGTGTTCGAGTTTACGAATTTCATGCATCAGGGTGAAAGGTGCAGCTGATGATGATCTCATGGACTGCCTTAGGGTCGTTTTTCTCATCTTCTCACTGCGCTTTGAGTCCTTGATTTCAGGTTTTAACAGCAATGCTTCTGAGTAAGATAGACACTTCTTGACAGCTGGGCAGGGTGATTCTTCTACTTTAGTGCACACCTAATCACCAGAAATTTCAGGACAAATGTTAAACAACCATCCGGTGACAGAGAAGACAGACAGAATGTCAGAGAAAGACAGCAGAAGCAGACCTGTTGTTGCTCCTCTTCCATTCTCCTACGTAACTCATCCACCTCAGATTTTGCAAGGTCTCTTTGGCGTCTCAATTCCTCTACTTCCATCTCCAGCTGCACATGACATTTGGGTGTAAAGAAGAGGATTATTACAACTGAAACATGGTTACCAACTGATGATTTCATCAAAACTAGTATCGAAGTTTACCTGCTGGATTTTCAAGTCTTTGTCTCTTGAAGGGTCAGGAGTGCGCCTCTGTTCTGCTTCCAGCCTCGCCACTTCCTTCTGTAAATGTTTAACTAGCTGCTTGTCTGAAACAACCTAATAATATAGTTTGGTGGAAGAAAATTAGCTTCTATTTTCACAGAAAACCTGAATGAAAAACAGATGGTCAGTATATTATAAGAAACAACAAGGAGATGTAAATACCATGTTGACTTGTGCATTATTTGTAACTTCCTTGGCTCGTGTTGCAAAGTAAAGAGTATTTCGAGATTGTTCAACATGTGTCAATGCTGGGCTTAAAGTACATATGATGGCAGTACGAGCATTTCCGCCTAGTGAGTGCTGCAGTATGCGCGTAAGCTTCGAGTCTCTGTAGGGTATGTGGCCACTTCTCTTCCCAACACTGAATGATCAATCAAGAAGAAATTGAGTTCCAACAGACCAGGACTTAAACAAGAATAAGAAGGCTAGTCATGAGCGTAACGAATGCAGGGATATTTAGATAGTCCTACCATGCCCAGAAAGAGAAAGAAAGCAAAACATGCTCTGACCTTAGTTTTCTGATTACTGTAGTTAGGGTCATCAGGCTAAGATTGATATGGCAACCTTCTCGTAGCCTAGTACCATCAGCATGGGTCTGTGAAGCCCTTTCACTCCCAGCTAGATCCACGAAATTCTGTCCAGGTCATTGAATTGATAGTGTCCATTAGATGGGAGCCATTTGACTGTGGGAACATTGCGGAGAGGGAAAGAGTTCCAAGAGTTTTACCAAGCTTGCAACAAACGACCTCGCACAATCGGAATTCTCATGTAGAGTACTCTGTATCGTCTGTGTGCACAAGGATAAATAAACCTTCACATATTAGCTTTTGCTAAAACACATCATCATGATTATGTATCAACACAAACTGGAGCTAACAAACACTAACCAGCCTGATAATTTGATGTGATCGTGAACTAGTATCATTGAGTGCGGTTTCACCAACTTGCCTTTGGGCTGTAATCCGAAAATAATTGATTAGTCATCTGCTTATTAAAATCAACTCTAGAATGAAAGAGAGTGCAGTATCATTGACCAAATTACCTTCACACACACTGATCAACTGCCTCAAATGTGTATCGTCGCTTGCTGTTTCCTCCACCAACTTCTCAACTACTGTTCCTTTCTGCCATCATCAAAGATTAATAGGTTCCATCCAGGTCTAACAAAAACATACAAGGGTTCTTGCAAATTGCAGCATACCTCCGGATCATCTAGAAGCTTGAGACTGCGGCCAGATTCTGAATTCAACAAATCCCTCACATTTTCATTGTATATCTCCAGCCCTGACATCCTTATTGTGAAGTCCCTCTCCGGCGTCTGCAACAGAACAACGATTTATTATAACCTTGAGTCATGTTTTTGTCAAGCCTACTAGCGATACAGCAAATCTTCGTCCACTTACGTTTCTTATATGGTTGTAGATGTCTTGAACAGCCTTTTCAGTTATTCCTCTCATAGTGTATGTCTTCCCACTGCTTGTTTGCCCGTATGCAAAGATAGTTGCTGCAATCGAAATGTAATTAGCACTGGTAGCTAACTTGGAACCCTCCTAAGGGGCAAATCACACAGATGAAAA